TATATTTATATATTTTTATATATATGAGCAGTATATTTTTAATGGGATTACTCTAGTAAGTCAACTTAATCTCTCTTATCGATGTATTGCATCAGGTTCGCTTCATGCGCCTGCGAGTTTAAAAATCGTCGTATATGCGTATTAATAACCTTGAACACGTCCTTCCGAAGTATCTGGAACGCATTGGTGGGCATTATAATATACAATGGCATTTCATTGTTCTTTAAAAGCTATAAAACAATGGCGATCGACTTGCAACAATGCCATTCTTTTTAACTCGACCAGGATGTGTCAGCGAGCGGTCGAACCGATCAGAAAACTTGGACAAACGCACAAGGCGGGTCAAGCCCTCTACTCACTTAAAGGTTTTTCCTGTTTTGACCTGCCTTTGCGTTGTCCTTGTTACACTATCTCCATATATACATATTCAAGGATAGTTTTTGAGCGCACTTTTCTGAATTCGCTAATACATTCTCTGCTGTATATTGACATTACCTCGTTACAAAAAAAAGCACGAATGCTAATTGGCATGCAGGAGTGTACAAGTTATAATCATCATAAGAGTTTTTAAAGTATTAAAAAAAATGATTAAAGAACTAGTAATTACTACATTCTACATTCCGTCGCGGTTAAAGCACGTTTTTAACTTTTTACAGGTAGGGGAAAAAAGTTCTCTCCTTACCTTCATGCTACCTCGAGAGATTCTGTTGCAGAAAAGAAAAATTTGTTAGTGCCACTTGCGCACCTTTCTCCGTCTGTTGTTAGAGAAGTTTTAAAGCGAAGCGGACACGCTGAAACCTAAAGCTGCACTGACGACCTCTACCGAGCGAGTTTTTGACCGGTTTGTGACGTCAATAACTTCGCCCCTTCACTACTATTCTTATTATTTTTTTTTTTTACATCATCAGTTTCTGTTTCAATTCTTGCCAAGATTTCCAATTTATTAATGCCGTAGCATTACGAATCTGATCGGAATTTAATTGCAAATTGTTGCAGCAAAACTTTATACCCTTTACGCAAGCGAGTTAGGTATGAGTCATAAGCAAAATGAAAATTTTGTAAATAAAAATTGATAATTTCTCGCACACCACGCTCGAATTACTTTACTGAATTAGGAAACGATTATGTGGCGTGACTTGTACAAAATAGGGAAAATAAATAAATAAAGACCTGATAAATCGATAGAAATATATATATTTATTTAAATTCTTGTCAATCATCGTATCGTGTGAAAAATTAAAAAAAAAAAAAAAAATTTTATACATAAAACGACGTTAAATTCCATTTTTAAATTTTAAATAAACGAAATTCGATTTCTTTTCTTTAATTGGTTAATTCGAATTTAAAAATTTAATCGATATCAATTTAATTGCTGTAGATTGGATGTTTAAAAAATAGTTACATCTCGATTGGCTAGTTTGAATTTAAAAAGTTACAGGCCTACTTTCACCTGGTGATAGATTTTTTTTTTATTTAAAAAAAAATTCCTGATTTATTATAATAGACTATTCTTCTTTCGCTTTTCCTAAGGGTTTATTTCTTCGTATATTTTCTTAATAATACATTTTTAATTAAAATAATTACTCGTTAACGTGTAAATGAATTAATTAATTCGAAAATTTGAATCCGTATCGACGATTATTGGTCGATTTAAATTTTAAAATGCCCAATCACTTCTGCAAATATCTTTACGTAATCTTATACTCGTTTCATTAGTATAGTAGGTCGCTCGTTTCGTTTCGTGCGCATTTGCGTATAAATATACATCATTAATCACAGTAAAAATTCTATCCTTGAGACCATGGGTGGATCCAGATAATGTTTAGAATAGCTACAGATTGTTTTACTTCTCGAAAATTCCTGTTTATAATCAATTATTCAGACTTCGAACGAAAAAAAAATTTAAAATTGAGTACCAGATATACCTGATTTACTGGAATAATGGGTTTTGTTTTGTAAAATAGCTCTTCATTTTGTTTAGAAGATTATATATTATATTTTTCTTACCATATTTAAAGTATTAAATCTACATTTTAAAGAAACTACAGAATGATAAGAAGGAAACACTCCAGACCTTATGGAATGACGAATAAAGTAAATGACTTGCCTCTGAATTTATTATTAATTTTAAAAATAAAATTTAATGGATAAAACGAGATTTGAGCTTTCTATCATTAGACAATAGCATAAAATTAGATAATTATCGTGTAAACTCACCCTTTTCTTGCTCATTTCCATAATTACTTTCCTTCTCGTCTTTCCCTTGTGGAATTTCCTCCATGCTCTTCTCTTCGTTCTCCGCTTCTGTTAAAATTGAAGAAGAAGAATCTAGACCCGAGCTGTTCTCTTCTGTTGTGGAATCCTTTTCGACATTAAATAAATCTTTTAGGTTATCTTCCTCTATGGCGCATTCCTGTAGATCATCCCGCTGTACAATGGAATCTGAAGTATCCAGAATGTATCCGTTTGACTTCTCTTCTTGGCATTCCTCGTCGTCTTCGATTTTGAGCCTCGTATCACAATCTTTTTGAGTCTGTTCGGCTTCCGAATCGGTCGAACTTTAAACCATAACAAATAAATATTTTTAAAGTCACGTTCGGAAGATAAAGAGCGTAACGTTAAGAAAAATGCAATCGCTTTTTTTTTAAAGGTGTGGCTTTTTAAATCTACTATTGCCCGAACGACAGACGGTCCTACCGGTTTCTACAAATGGAAATTTTCCAAACGATTATAGCATTTAAACATATATGACAGCGCTAAAAGGATGGTTTCGGCCTTTAAAAATGAGTACAAAAATTACGCCTGCTTTGTCGTCATATTATATAAATTATTTTTAAAGATAAAAAAAAACAAAAATGCATTAACGTTACGCAGTTGTAAATTTTACGCGGCTTCTATTGTTAAGGTTTAAAAAAAAATTCAAAGATATGTACGTAGATTGGTGACGTCACTTAAAAAAATTTCTTTTCGAGTTTATTAGTATTTTGACTCCAGGTGGCGGCACTTGTTAAAAAAGCAGACTGTTTAATGAATTTTAAACTTATTTTTCTTACTAATAAAGCCTTTATTTATGCTAATTTAGTCGTTTTAATAAATATTTAGCGCTTTAAGAATAATACACGCGCGCTTCTTAGCGTACGAATGCATACAAATGCCTTTTTTTAGTGTCATACGTGGAAATTAGCCCTAAAATATAACTTTCGTGCATTTTAAATTATTCTAAAATAAATTCTGGATTAGGGATTCAATTAAAATATATTCTGGCTTCAAAAAAACTATTATTATTATTATTATTACTATTATTATTAATTTTTGCTTCAAAATTATAATGTAATTTGCATATTCTTAACAAAAAAAAAAGTGTTTATAAATTTAAATAACGTGTAAAAAAATAAACTTTTAAATAAAATCGTTATAAAAATTTAAATTAAACATGGTTGAATTTGAAAAAAAAAAAAATATCCCCACAAATCTAAAACAGCTCCATCTTTTAACACAAAATGTAACTAATAAATTAAAATTTGCTGTACAAATATTTAAAATGATCTTTATTCTGCAAAGACCTATTACTTACCTATTACTAACTTTTCTCTCTTCAGTTTGCCATCCAGATTCCCAATTAATAGAGGAAGAGTCACTTTCCATTGTAATATTCTCATCGGCAGTTGCTTGGCAAATTATTCCAGTTGTTGATATGTATGCAGACTTTTTGCTTTCGCTGACTTCTTTGTTCGATGATTTAACACTTCTGGTTTCTTCTCTGAATCCTTGACTAGTTGATACCGCTTGTATGCTAACAGATTTGTCTTTTTTGATAGTTTTGACGGATTTCGTTACCGTTGAATTATATTCGATTTTTCTTCTCTTCCACAATAGAGGATTACTTGGAATCTTACTACTTGGAGATGGGCTAGATTTAGGACTGGTCGAAGGCTTTCGATGGGTAGGCCTTGGTATCTTTGATGTACCTGTATATGTTCGAGGAGAACATTCTATCTTCGTTCTTCTAGGAGGCACTGGAGGAGGTATAACTTGTTTATTGGTATTGCTTTCTTCTGGAAAATTTTCTTTGTTATCGTTGAACGCCGAAGTATTTTGACTAAGTTCTGTTTCGCATATATCGCCGTTTAAGTCGTCGGAAGAATATTCTGGACTTTCTGTATTGCTGATGCTATTTTCTAGAATGTTTTCGGTACATTCTTGAAGTTCGGATTCCGAATTAACATTTTCGCTGCTGGTCGAATCTTGGAACGATTCTGGAGGTTCGATTGTGATATTTTCGGATTCGATGTGTTGTGAATCATCTGCAGACACTTCGCCGTCAAGTTCCCTTTCCAGTTGTTCGAATGGACTTAATACTTGATTCAAGTCATAGGTAGTCCTGTCTATTGCATGGGTGTGTTCGGAAAAACTGGAATTTGCGGTACTGGTTCGGGAAAACCGTTCTATGACTGTCGATACCGAACTGCCTGTATCGTCGGATTCGGATTCTATCATTTGCTTTTCGTCTTCTTCCGCTATTACATCCATATATATATCGGGTTTGGCTGGTAGATGACACTGTACATCATCTAATTTTCCAGCTCTTCTCATTAATAGCTCTTCCCAACCAGGTAATTTTGTACTGAGAGATGCTCCTGGGAAATTGGGTTTGACTGTGTTTTCGAAATCTTCGACAAAAACGGCAGTTTTCGGTCTTCTTGGAGGTAACGGAGGTGGGTGAATAGGCCTTTTTATTGAATTGCGTTCGGCATTTGCCGTTCTTTCTTCCAATCTCTGAACAACTTCTCGAACTGTTGCTATTGTTTCGATATCTTGCTCTATCCTAGACGGAGATTTACGCGGTGGTATAGGTGGTGGAGGTCCTTTTTTCTTTTTACACATTATTGGTATTTCTTCTTCCTCTTGTGGTTCCTCCTCGTTTATACAATCTTCGGGAAGAGTTTGCCTTCTGACTACCATTCGTATACATACAGGCGCGTGTCTAAGAAGGGAAACACAATCCATTCTCGTCATAGATGACACTTCTCGTCCATCGATCTTTAAAATTTCGTCCCCTTCTTGAAGAGGGCCTAAGACACATTGCGCGCGAGCTGCTGGACTATCCATATTAATAGATTGAATAAATACTCTAGAAACATTATCGGCGGCATTGATTCCTCCCTCGAATTTAAGAGCCATTCCTAGTCTTTCGCCTGGCAGACGGTAAATAGTTATCTCTTCCGTACCATCTTCTTTTAGCCCGTCAGATACTTGAAGCACCGTTACGTAACCGGGACACTGGGATAAATTTGGCTCGTCCACTTTTACTACTGTCACAAAATCATTTGTTGATGGTCGAAGCAAGTTAGGAACAGGTTGGTCTTCCGATAGTCCATTCTCGACCTTATTGCTTCCGTCTGTGTCGTTATAGACATCAACAATGACGATGTGCTTACCATGCCCATACATGTCTACATTGGATGAAGTTAGCTGTTGCTGGAGTACATGATGCGTGAGATTATTTACCTGATCGGTAAACAATTAACTCTGTAACAAAAAAATAATAAGGTACAAACTGGATAATTTCAGCAAGAATAAGGGAAAGCTGTACAAATTTGAAGAAAAACATATAAAAGGAAACTACACAGAGACGTGCACATCGTGACTTTCCTGTTTCTATAATCGTTCCCGTCACGTGATATTGTCTGTCAGTCACATCATCAGTCTATTATGTGATTTATCAATCTCGGGATGATGTCATGCGGTAGAATGGGGTTTTAAAAAGCACGAAAATCTCACAAACCGTTATTCTAAGCGAGCAGAACAAATTTTAAATTGTGAGCAGTATGTTAATCAAGTGTTTTATGCCGATTTTAAATTATGAACTTTTTCTCTTGATACAGGGTAATGTCACGTATCCACTACCCGTGCATAGGGTTAAATGTTCATCGATGCACATCCGAACTTCACCGTCTAACAGAAAACTAAAACAATTCTTGCAGTCGGCAAGATTGTTCGACTAGTCAGACCTTGGCCGAAATGCTTTATATCTGTCAGGAATTTGACCGTGACTGCCTTCTGTGATTTATCTAACTCAACTTGGACATTAGTTGTTTGCAAAAACGCATTGAGAAACTAAAGTACTCGTGAGGTAATTTGTGTAGGTGCTAGCATGAGTTAACACTGCCTAACGCTGTATATTCTTTTCTTAATGTTTGCATGACATTCCCCTTGCAAAAATTGTCATTTGAAAGAGGGTCAACGTACAAAAGGATAGAGAGAGATGCGCTGGCGATCGGGGCATGGCACTTCCCTATTCATCATGTTTGGCAAATTAGGGAGTGGAGAAAATTGCCTAGAGCGGATGGTACACTAGATAAGATCCCAACAACTTTCTGTGGTGCTTCCCAATGTTCTATCATTAGCATACCTTTCTTGTTTGGCTGTGTGAGCGTATATGGGTTTTATACTGAGAACATTTATACACACATGTAATAAAATAATCAGTTAAAGAATCAATTTAAAGAAAGCAAAAATAGGAAATATGATAATGACCGGATATTATCACAGTTTTGAGAAATAAAACAGTCATGTTTCACATGGTTAACCATGGAAAGGAGATCTGGTACATGAACATACAGTACTGTATTTAATCCTGTCAGTACAAAGTTAAAAATATACCGGTAAATAAAGTATGAAGAAAAGAATTGAAAGTAGAAACATAAATTCCTTATTGTGCTTACAAAATATGTAGTTTGAAGAAGAAACAATGGCGAAAGAAGCGAAATTATTCAATTATAAAAATATCCTTCACTACATTTACGCAAGAATTTAATCAAATTTTAACTCCTCTTCCTGATAAGATTATGAATTTTTCCTCCAATATTTTTTGGCTAGATAAGGTTTATTTTTAAACTAAAAATAATTCAAAACATATCGGAATGTTAAGGTATTCGAATTTATTATGAAAGCTATGTTCATTGTTCGAAAAGAAGTTGAGAAACAAAACAAAAAAAAAAACACGAAGTTATGCAGGTAATTTGTGTCAACTCACCTGTTACAATACAGGTTACTAGAATGGATATGAGAGATAATGAGTAATTTTTCTATATATTTATTATTAAAATTATTCTTCTATCCCTCACGTGATTAATGTTTTATTATATTAAATTATAAAAAAAAAGCAGAAACTTCAATGATTTATGAGGGATTGTCAATAGTACCTTAATAAATTTTCCCTGTTATCACATAACTTGACACCCGTTCATGATGAAAGGGAATTTTTCTATAATAATGTAAATAATTCAAACTTTTCATTAATAATAATAATAATTTTCAACTTATTTACTTTTTTAAGGCTTCGGGCATTTGGTTTAATTGTAAAAAAAAAACAGCTTAAATTTTAGCATATAAACAAATACAGCAGAGCTTGATCTATGGCTCGGCTGATGACAGATAGAGATATTGAATAAAGGTATTCGTTACTACTCATACCCACGAAGATCTGAAGGATAAAACTATGATAAATAATATAGCTTATAATATGATAAAATTTAAATATATTATATGGTAATTTCTTTTTTTTAAGCAATTATCTTAAAGGTTTCGTAAAGTTCCATTAATCTTCGTATGAATTTTGAAAATCCATAATCATCGTCGATTTTTTTTTTTAATTTGTTGAGAAATGGGAAGGACAAAGTTATAAAAAAACATGCTAATTACTTGTAAAAATTCTTCGAAAATTGGATTTTTGGGGGGGGAATTTGTACAAATGACGCCCATGTGCAGTAAAATTTTTACAGAAGAACGAAAGTTGGTCTTCCAGTTCCTAATCATCTGACCTGTTAGGTAGGCCCAGGTTCAAGGACCTTTACTGTCATCAGTAGACGTCACCAAGATGGCAACCTTGAATTTCAACCTTTCTTTACCTGTACAACTACTGTATTGATTATAAAGGCTATTTATGATGTCCCTTCCTTCGGTGACAGCATCTGATGTTATTTTTAAAATAAATTTGAATAATAACAATGTATTGTTTATGTAGAATTTTCATTTAAAAAAAAAATGTTTTTTTATTAGGTGGAGTGGATGATGTTTTGTAAGAAAAGGAAGTGTACACCACCTAATTCTGATTAAAATTTTAATTATAATCAACTTGATAGAATAAAACGGATATTCAAACAGGCAGAGTGGTATATAAAGCAACACTAAACAGGAGGCGAGTATAGAATATATTTAAAATATTCTTATTTTTCATGAATATTTCATTCCAATACCTCTAAGTTGATCTGATCCCGTCGAGAAGTTATGCTATGGATTTATAAAAATTTTACCAGAATAGAATTCAAATGATATACTTTATACAGCAGAAGATATTTCATAGAAATTCTAACATTATCTCATAGTTTAAATTCATTTTTTTGATGAGGAATTTCATCATATTTTCCATTTATAATTAATTATTTATGAAGATCATTATCAAAAGAATTCTTTTGAAACATATTTCAGGAAATTTTAATTGATAATTCTTTTGTTTTATGAATTTATTATAGAAATTTTAATGCTATCTCCAGCATTTTCTATGAGGAATCTCACTAAATCTAACTTAAATATAAAGCATTCTTTGATTAAAAAATAAATCAAAATTTATCTAGCATCAAATAATTTTCGAGTGTTTCACCTGGAACAATAGATATTTCTAGCTCATACAATTATTTATAGATCATAATAACACAATTATAAACAGTAAACTTGTATAAACCATAATTAATGAACAAAATATACGTTTTCTTTCTTTTATTAGCATTAGTGTCTTTTGAATGCCAAGTGGATTATAGAACAATGGGTACAATTATCTGACTTAAAACCAATATTTCGATGTTGGTAACGATTTATAAATGGAATGGGAAGGAATCAATGTCAGAAAAAGGTCAGGGAAAGGCCATGACCCTGATTAAACCGATATCCAAACATGATATACCTTCCCCTAGATTACTTGTCCTACTTTTCAAATCTGGTATTTGTATTGTCTATAAATCCTTTTCTCAAGTAAATATTACGTTTCTTTCGTATATTAACGTGTCAATTTATTTTTTTATAGAGAGATATTCAAGATTCGAAGACACTCGACAATCGTTACTTCATAGACATTGTGTTAAGTTATAGTTTTCCTTGTAACAATTATTAATAACTCGGTTGTAAATTTCATATATTTTTCCAGTTTTTTATATGAAAATAACACTTCACGTAATGACATCATCGCTTACTTTTAAGTCCAGTTAAGAAAAATAGGGACGACAGGACAAGTGTGTACATAAATGGTTCACCTCAATATAAAACCACTAGGTCGTATTAAAGTAGGGCACACGCTATGTAAACCAAATTGGAAGGTGCTAACGAAAGAAGATATTAAAAGAAAATTAAGAAAATGTTATTTTTATAATTAATTAGCATACGTTTAAATATATTTCATTCGTTCTTCTTGTCTGTAATATTAATTTTTTTCTTTTTTTTTTTTTTAAATCTTCCTAAGTATAGGGTGGTCTAAGAATAGATATTGCATGACAAGCGGAGTCATTGACACTCAATGGCAAAAGGTGGATGCAACCTTTGACCCTGGCTGGTAAATGTCGAGGTAAAGATATAGTGATGGCGTTATGAGTTGAAGCGTTATACAACTGCTTTGTCAACCTCTGAAGACCTTTGGCATCCAGGAAGTAAATAGATATAAACGAATCATGCGAGTTGGAAGTGAGGATTAAAAAAAAATCAATCGAACCAGAATATTGATTTTCGCTTCTGTACTATGACTCGTTTGTATAGTTTTTTTTAATTTATTAATTTATAAATGTTAATGAATTTAGTACCTGTATAAAGATAACAAAGTGATTAACTTGTAAAATATATTTGTATTTGATTTGATCGTAAGAATAAAGAAGTAAATAAAAAAAAACAAAGGCATTTATTTACGTCTTTATTCTTAAGTTGACAAACTACAATTTTAATTTAAGTGAATGATGAAAGAGTGGTATTTTTAACCCTTCCCATGACACGATATCATTTATTTAACCCTTCACACGACAAATAATAAATTACGTTTTGCTATCTGAAGAATTAAATGAATGATATCGTGTATAAGGTGACTTATATGTTTATATTAGCGGTGATACATTGAATTGTTTAACTTAAATGACAGTATTTACTCATCGAAATGTGTTTTTGTCATTTAGGAAAACAGACTAATGACATTTATCACAAGATATAAAAAGTCTTGGTGTATCTAGATTAGAAATTCCAATTCAATTAAGTAATCGACTTATTTATCCTCTTAACAACCAGCTTAATGACTTTACACGCCCTCGTTAGTGGAAAATCGTTAAAGAAATTGAAAGTAGAATCGTGAAAGTGAATAAAGGAAGACGTTACCCCTCCGTAGTACGCTTTCATGCTTTGTTATCATTAACGTTAACTTATTATCTCTCAATTAAATAATAAAGAAGTGATATATAACGCTATTATCCAATCCAATTAAAAGTTCTAGTGTCGAACTTTCCATTCAGAAAGTTCACGTGTTGCATAATCTGTTCGCCCATATTTTACGATGGGAAGTTTCTATTTTGGAGATCGTTCTAACTATAAAATTATCCTAATTATTTAGTAATATTAAATTTATTATCGTTAATAATAGTATTTAGTTTCCATGCATAATATTCGCTACATAGTTAATTACAGAGAACAGCATCGCTTAGTTGTCTGCAGGCATAAATTTTTGTTTTGACGCATCTTTTACCATCAAAGTAACACCTCAATGATTGTCATAATCTTTTTAACCTTGACCTCGGTCTAGGTCACAGGACAGTCTAGCTTTACTAATCACTATTTGACCGGAAATTGTTTTAACTTAATTATAAGAAATGTGTCACCCGAGGATTGTCTTTAGACTCTTTTTTTTTTTTTTTTAACAGTCTCGTGGATATAATGAGGTTGAGATTCGCTTTATAGGACTTAAACCAATGGGAAATATGAGGAAATTCATAAGATATAACGCCCCCATTCTGATGAGAACTGGTAAAAGGCGTCGTATTGGCCACATCCTTCGTTTCAAGTTGTCCTTGCTCTCAATTCTGTCATGACTTCCAACATAGAACGTCGTCAGAAACACCCTAAACCTGTCCAGCCAGATTCCAAAGCAATTCTGTTCTTTTTTTTCCATATTATTTCTATAGTTTTTACCTCTGTCGAATTATATTTTTATCTTTAAAGGTAAAACTCAATAGCTGTATTGTACAGTACATAAATAGAATCGTGTGCAGTGTTCAATAGAATCTTTACTATATATATATATATATAGCCATAATAATAAGTTCTAAACGATAAATTGTACATTAAAACATCATAAAGTTTTTGAAAACCAGAATTATAAATAAATTTAAACTATATCAATGTATAAAATTGAATATTTTTCCTTATAAAGTAAATGGTTTTTGTGAAATTTGTCGATTTATTCTAGGAATTATCTTCGATCAGTATTAAAAAAAAAAAGTATCAGAATCTTGTTGACCAGATTAAAAGAATGGTGTTAGTTTCCTTGAACAAGCAACCAACAAGTCCACTCATTGTAGCGTGTCCTCAATCAGAAATTCCATCCAAAACCATCCTGGATGTCCTCTTTACCAGACTGGATCGAAATTAGCTCTGTAGGTCAATAGATCGTCATCAAATTTGATTATTATCTTCCGACTTCATCCACAACATAGTATCGTATTAGTGTTAGAATAATATTTGCACCGTTTACTGTTAGGATTATCACACGAGTTTTCGATAAATTATATATATAAAAAAATAAAACAATTTATTTAGGATCCTTATAAGGAGAAAAGGGAAGTAAATTCCAATGTAGTCATATTAGAAAAACTACACTCCTACGCGTCTGACCCCAACAACATAAGCTAGTTTAGTATCAACATTGTTCAGTATGCAAAATACATGATCCTCCAAATAAAGTAAATGTTATTGTAAGGTCTAGAAACGATTTGGTTACATTTATTAATATGTAAAATATGTATACGTTGAATGTAATTCTTAATCCAGTCAAAAGTAGTTACATAACTGACAACGCCTCTGCACAGTAGAAGCATAAAGTGAAATTTTACACCTACTAAAAATTACACAAATTTCAAGAAGCAACCTCGTTTTTTTTTCTTTTCTTTTGTTTGTTTTTCTGTAAAGGAGAACAGAGGAAAATTTTTTGTATAAAAATTATCTTTTACAGTGGATGAATTTTTATATAGAAAAATTGAAACTGATAAAGTTACTATTATAAATTACAGTAAAGTGCAATACAGTAAAGGTATTGTGAAGTTCATACATAATTAATTAGGATGTAGAGTTGTAGAACCGAATCCTGATTGATGAATATGTAATTTCATAATAAATATTCTGGAAATTTACTCTTCAAATGTCTCAATAAAATTCTAATTTAAAATATTTTAAGCATTTTAAAATTAAACTATTGTAAAATTAATATTATAAAAATACATCTCATTAAATGTTAAGAAATTATAGAAAAATGTATACTATTTAAGTGTTATATTAAATCATATATTTTATAATTAATGAGTAATTTTAAACGGTTATTTTTACCTTCTTTTTTTAACAGGTAAATAACTGTATACAGTCGAATAATGTTAAACACTGAGAGTTTCTTAATTGATAAAGCGAAGAGAAATGTTAATAGTTAAGTTCCTGGAGTTATACAGTATGATGTAACAGCATTGTAAGTATAAACTATTATAAAAATGCATTCTATGAGACTATACATTTCATTTTATGATGAACAAAGTGGCAGCTTTTAATTGCAGTAACACAGTATAGAACATAAAATTATATATAACTCATCAATAAGATTAGTTTCATAAATATTTAACTAAGGGTTTCTTAATTAATAAATCGAGTAGAAATGCTAACAATTAAGTTTTTGATACAAGCAATGCTTAAATATAGTACGAAATAACGTCGCTCTAAGCATAAAATATCGTATACCCTTCCCACAAGAGTGTATATATTTCATTTTATGACGAACGAAATGACGACTTCCAATTACAGTAGCATGCAATACAGGGACATAAAACTAAGTGTATGAAAACACCAAATAATATTAAGCTTTATAAACATTTACTGCCGACAATATAGAAAACATTCGACCTAATTCTACACACTTTTTTTTTATGATATTTATCTCACTATTGTGTACTTGTCTGTGTAAGGACATAAAACCTCTGTTTAAAAAAAAGCAATTCGATGACCACCGAGCGTTAATTATTGTAGTCGAGGAATAGTTTGACGTTGTAAAAGTATGTTTTTTCCACGTTACAAAATTTTCCCCCGTAGTAAACTAACAAGTGACAAGACGATAAGTCATTATATTAATTAACGTGACCCGAAATCGTGTCACATTTATTTCACACAATAGAAAGACAATCGTATTCTTTTATACGCCGGTATATAAAAGTTAAATTTTGACTTCATTAACAACTGCGAAAGCGCTAATCTCGCACTTCAATCAAACGTTTATTCGCTGCTAATTTACAAGTCAATCCTTCCATACGTATAATTAATACGAATGCTATTTATAGCCCGTTAGCGACCATCCGCGATTTAATTCAACGCCGCCACTCTTAAATTTTATTCTAGCTAGATTCTAGCAACGACAGCTTCCACGCCCCCCCCCTAAACTATACTACAGTACGCTTTTTAAAACCGTAATTTCACCGAAAAAATATGTCGTAGAGGTGATTAAATATCAAATATTTCATTAAAAAAAAACATACTCACGTTTGTAATAATTCAACATCTCGCGTAGTATAGAACTCCACAGTTAGTTGTCATTCCAAGAGTGATTAAAATCGATGTTAAAGACGACAACATTTATAAGTAACGTACACACACGATAGTTGTTCCTACATGCGCCGATAATATAAGCGATTTTTAGCAGTGAAGATGTACAGATCACACAAGTTAAGTTAACTTCAACCAACGTGCATCGTGTCCAAAACGAGTGTCGGCCGCTGCTCTAACAGTTGGGCCCTGAGGCAAAGTTCGTGAAACCACGCCACTACTATACCAAACCTGCCTGACTCCAGGCGAATACTGTTTACACTGGTTGGTTAGGTCGTCCGAGTTTTGTAACTAGTTTTCTTATCGGGGAGATGCACAGCTTTTCGTATAAGTTATTATTAAAATAATCATCTTTTTTATAAAATTGAAAGTGATACCCCCTTTCAATATTATCATTTTTTCCCATATGTGAAAATATTTTTCATACTTTTCCTCTAAATCGTTAAAATCATCCAAGCGTTGTTCTTCGTACTTAATCTTATATTATGACATATCTGACGTGTTAACACTTTTATTTTGTGTCCTTTATTAAAAATTACGCGAATAAACGTGCAACTTTTATCGAGAAAATCGCTCTAAATCGTTGTTTTAATAAGCTAAAGTTGTTATTTAGAATAATTTTATATTCTTTTAATTAAATGGTTCCTCATTCTAGTTGTTCCGGGTCATCGATGAATTTCTTAATCAATTTAATACTGTTTATCGTTTGTATAAATCGACTTTTTATACATTAATAAATACGTTAAGAATTTATAATTAGTCCCGTTAAATTTAAATATATAAATATTTAAAAAGAATGCGCATTATTTGTACACATTTTCGAGTTTCGTTCGTTGGACACTCGCATTGTTATCCCTCACAATACGCTGTACATTCGATCTTAGTAAATGAAATAATCATTTTCTTTTTCTGTTTGTAGATCCGAAACGTTTCTTAATTACAAGGCACGCTTATATTTATAAACTGTAATCACTATTCATGATCTAACTAGTGACCATTTAGTTTCAACAACATGCAAGCTCACCAATGAAGGAATTAAAATTAGGTATGAGAATTTATTTTATCTGTCTTTTTATACGTATAAGTGGGTGGTCTACTTAGTCACGGACATAAAAATATACTTAAAATATGTAAAAGTTAGCATAAATCATTTAGCATGCTTTATATATTCAAATGAAAACTTCCAACGCCTAACAAACAAGCGATATACGCGGTATAATGGCTTTAAATACCACACGACATTTATGGTAGAAGATAGAGATATCCTTTTGTTTGAATTATATTTTATTTTATGCTTAGTGAATTATATACGTGAAATAAATATATACACACACTTGTCTTAATCAGGATTTACTAACTTCCTGGATTAATCTACAATTTATCAAGATATTCCTCATCATTATTGATAGTTTTATATACGTTTTTATCGTTCACTTTCCTTAATAAAGTGCTTAATAAATATAAAAATGAATAAAACACACGAATACCAACACAACTTGTCCTCTCTGTCACGATAAATTCACCTGACAAAGAGGCCATGTAGGAAGTGGCAAACAGTAAATAAATTTTTTTTTTTTCTGTCCTATTTCGTAAATCCTGAACACGCAGATGTTTAGTATAGACTGGACTATTTATAAAAATACAGAACGTAATTTGTTCTACGTCACCGATAACCATCCCCATTTACTTTACAAAGGTGTTGATGTAATTTATCGATCGGTGTTATTTATTATACGGATGCAAAAAGATTAATCCGTTCGACTGCCTGTTTGAAATGTGGGATGAATCGGCAATAAAATACATACCTCAATGTAACAAATATATATATATATAGAGAGAGAGAATCTAAGAAGGAAGGGAGGATAAGAAATTCATACACTAGAAAAAAAAAACAAGAAAAGAATACTGCATTCCGTCCAGTTAGGGCGGGTTTATATAAGTCAAACCTGTTTTCTAAATAGCAGAAAGATTAAGCAGGAGAACATTACGTTTCGTTTTACTTGTAGATTAGTTTCTTCTTATCTCGAATATTTGTTTAGTAAGCGTTTATTAAACAAATTTTACACCTTTATCGAGCTTATAAAACCTTAAATTTAACTCAATAAGTATATATAAAAGTACAAGTCGAACCCCCCCTATAACACTGTTGATTTTTCCGTTTTATATGATTTCCATGTTGTACGAGTCACTTAGATTTTACAAATACATGAGCCGTTCACAGCCCGGCACACATATTTTTGTAAAATCTAAGTGACTCGTACAACATGGAATTCGTATAAAACGGAAAAATCAACAGTGTTATAGGGGGAGTCGACTGTACAAATTTACCTAAAAAAAATTGTTTTAACAAACTTTTACATCAAATCACACTTTTGAAATAAATATAAAAGTGTAATTAACTCGTTAAATAATTCAAAAATAAATGAAGCTACGTCAAGATCGAATTTTTAAGTGTTATTTAAGGTGTATCTTTACAGTAAAATCACTTAAAAGTAACTTATTTTTCAAGTTCGCTTCAAACTAAAGCCGTATTGAATGCTACTACAGTAGAAAGTGACCCATTGTAGTGTTTAATTAATTAGTAAAGTTAAAGGGGAGACCAGAAAAAAAAAAGAAACACTATAGAGAACATCGGTTGTTGATAAAAGTGGAGAAGTGCATTGAACGATTCATTTTATTATACCTTTACCGGTCTGAGAGGAATCGTGACTTGTTTAAAGACTCGTTTATAAGTAGTTTGTCTGATAAGAATTCATCTTTCCTAGAGGAAGTGTCGTAAACGAATATTAAAAACTGAATAATTATTACTTTACACACAATACCCGTCTGTGTTTTTACTCATAGATTGAATATAAGTTCGATATTATACACATTTAATGGTTTGATGTTAGGGCAACCTGCAAATTTTTCTATGATTTATGCGCAAATGCCTTACAGAAATGCTAAATCGTGCTTCGAGTTACAACTATGTCGTTTCGTGTGATGTTCGAGCACGTGCCAGGTGTCTGTTTACTACTTACGTAGCTCCATCTGTTGGACGATTTCTTAATAATTTATTTTACAATTTTAATTTTTTTTAAATTAATTTAAATATATATATTTAATTTCTACATCGTAACTGTATACAATTATATATTTTTTATAATATTTTTGGAGAATATATATAATGATTAAGTTATTTTTTTATACCAGTAGATGGAGACACACGATCGTTTTAAAGTTGAGTCGACTTTCAGAAGCAGGCGCCATCTAGGATTACTTTTCTGAATTAATTTACAGGGTTTTTTTTTTAAATTGTAGTTTTATAACTTAAAAACTTTTATAACTGATCGAATTTAAACATTAATTTTCTTACTTACAAATAAAACATATTTAAACATCTTCTCCAATGTAAATTTTTTATATTGATTTAATTTTCGGAATTCTCAACAAACTTCTATTTACTTAGGATCTTCAGGTGCTGCAATAATATTTACAGATAGAAGTTGATAAGTCTGATTTATTTACTTTTGATTCTTTCTCTCTGTAAAATGTTGAACTTTGATATTAATCGTAAGCCCACGTCTCGATATTATTTTTAAGATAATAAACATTAACAAGACAACATTCGTTCAATTGTCTAAGTCAAACCGGAAAAATGAGCCAATAACCTTAATTTTAAACCTTATTTTCAGGTGAAAGGTTACTTCGTTTAGTCTCTCTTCTCTCTAATCATCAATAGACCTTACTTTAGAATGAAAAGTGACTTCGATTAATATATTTCACCTTAAAATAAGGTGTAGATTAAGGTTATTTGCTCATTTTTTCCTTTTAACTTAAATAATTGTATGAGTGTTGTCCCCTTAAGTTTATTAAACGAAAGAAGAATCTACCTTATTTTAACGTGAAAAGTGACTTTTCTTTAAATATAATAAACCTTAATTGAAATCTTATTTTTAACGTAGAATTATATTTAGTCTCTTCTTCATCTTAAAATAAAGTTTTAATTAAGGTTAACGGTTCTATTTTCGTTTAACGTACGCAGTAAAAGAACATTTTAAAATGAGAAGGGAGACATTTTTAAGTAATTAACATCATACAATCTCTACTTTTAAGATTGGTTTCATCTTATACGCATTGGAGAAGATAGTAAGTACTGTTTGGTCAAGTGGGTTAACAAGTAAACAATTGAAACCATACGGGAAAATCGATAAAGATACAAAATAAACGTTCCAAGAAACGTTTATAAACTAACCAAACGTTGCTTATGCCAACTAAGGGTAAGTCAGCAACTCGTAAAAGTAATTCTAATTGACAAATAAGCGAATTTAAAAAAGAAAAAAATACTTTATTTAACATTTAAACAAACAAATAATAATAATAATCACAATAACCGTTTGTACAAAACAAAATAAAAATAATGGAAATTACACAATATATATATATATATCTTCACGTAATACTATTTTCGTTTTCTTTATCTCTAAGGGGAATGTTTGCTTATCGCAACGTGTCCAATTCTCTACATGACCTGGATACCAAGGAACTGCAAAAGAAAACAAAGTTCATCAAAATTATGATTTTATACCTATTAATAATATACTACTATTCTCGATTCAATAGTTCGTCTAACGTGTCTTTTATGAGTTATAAATAGGGGTTTTCTTTATCCGTAACAACAATAGTGACTGTAAAGGGAACGATTACGAGAGAAGAGAACGGAAATATTTATCTGATTAAGATCTATCTCTCGTACTCTATTAATATAAAATATGATCAATTTACCATTGTGTTTTTACTTAAAATTCGTTTATTATTATATATTATCGTGATTCGGGATCGAGGAACTTACTTCATTTTAGTATTAGTCCTCCGACATATATGTAGTACCACCGATCCTTGTTTAATCCTTTTAAATGCTGCTATAGCTTCCGCGTGTGAACATCCCCTCAAAGACTGTCCGTTTATACTCATAATTTCGTCTCCTGTAGGTTGAAAAATGCGTTATAATGCCGGAATTTTTTAAAATTTTAATGATAATCAATACACTAACCTTCTTTTAGTCTTCCAGAATCGGCAGCTTGCCCACCTGGGAAAAGTGTTTTAACATAAATACCTAATTCTCCTTTAGGTGAGTCCCTTCCTCCTACAATACTAAAACCTAGACTTTTCTTCCCTGGTCCTTTCTCAAAGACTACAGTTTGAGTGGTTTTTGGTCTCCTGGGTAGAGTGCACAGGGCATCTGTTGTCGTCTAACAATTGACAAAAACTCTTTTTATGGCCGGTTCTTTTATATAGTTTAATAAATGAACACGTGCACAGAACAGAAATTCAATACAACTTACCTGATTGGAATCTGTTTCTATATAACTCGCATGTAAAGACAGGGTGCTAGCACGAGACAAATACTGTTCGTGTTGAGATCTCGATACACTTTCTACTCTCGATCTCCTTTCCTAATAATATAAATTTATATATTTATCAATGTTTCGAAGTTATTCGGGCAAATAAACACTAATAATCGACAAAACCTTTTCTGAAACGACAAGACACACTGAGCCTTCTGCCGATTTCAACAGTTGACAAGCCTCTTGTAAACCCATTCCTTGTAGTTTATGTCCATTTACAGCTAATAATTCGTCCCCTTCGTGCAAAACACCCGATCTAAATGTTTAAAATATGCAAATTAGTTAAGTATTGTTAATTCTAAATACAAGTAGTTTCAAAACCCTGCACTTACCTGTCGGCGGGACCATCCTTCTCTAATCCAACAATAACGTAGCCCATGATTCCACCTAAAGAATCGATACGTCCCGTTATATATAATCCCAAATCTCCATTCTGATCCTTCTCTAATCTGATGGTCTTTGTTCCATAACCTAAATCGGAGGACCACTCGTTTAATTGGGCTTCTAACCATTGCCGCCTTCTAATGTCTGTCGAAACACTGTGTATTTTATTACAACCTTTCTTCTTCATTTTAAGCTGATAGTTTAGATCTCCACAAGCTGCCGTGGTGTTTTCGGACACGGGAGGGGGTCTAACTTCCTTCTCTTCTGGGAATAGAGAAGATTGGAACAGGCTGCTGCGTTTATTTAGAGTATTAACGTCGATATTATTGGATAGTTGCGCGGAATCTTTCTTTAATTTAGTCTTGAGTAATTTGGTATCCAGTGTCCACGCTTTAAACTGGCTGAGTTTCGATTTAGCGTTGACTTTACTAGTATTATTACTAATACCCGTATCCTTGGTTTTATCCCTTCCTATCAATTGCGAAAAGGAAGGTCTTCTGTTCGTCACCTTGTCGTCGCATTTCGTATTCTTCCCTGCCGTTTTTAACTTTTGTAGCAGCGACAGAAACTTGTGTAAATTGGGGGTGACCGACTCCGATACAAACTCTTCGCTTTGTTTGATCTTAGGGCTGTCCTCCGCGCACGTTTTAACACCGTCACTTTCGTAGCCGGACTCGTCGGACCTCTGATGAACGGAGCCGGACAGACTCTGTATGTCTTCATTAGGTGAGCTGTAAGTGACGTTAGTATTGCACTTCCTAGCTAAGTGATCCAAATACACTTCTTCCTCGAACACCGTACCCAACTGCGATTTCGAATTCCTGGAGTGAGACGTATCTTCCTCTTCTTCCGTACAACCCATGCGTTGTAGAAGGTCCTCGCAACTAGTCGCCATCACCTCACTCGCTAGACTGTCCTCTAGTAGGGTGGAAGAAGACACGCTCCGATACATGTCGCCACAGCTAAGGCCAACATCGCGTAAACACTCTAAGCTCTGGCTATAAGTCTCCTGCATCTGCCACTTATCACTCTCGTAATTCTGGCTATCATCTGGTAGACAATATTTCCTCGGTCCCCTACTGTATTTCCGGTTCATCCGCAGAACAGACAAACCTAAAGAAGAAGAAAAAATAAACGGCAGAGTCAGTCAATGTGTCCTCTCTCCGCCGTTCCTACTGGCCGAGTAAGGGAATGGCTCAGTCACGTGACAGGCCAGCGGGTCATTAGGAGTATCCCGCAGGGTGAAAGGACTTTAGAAGGATGACTAATTGTCGTACAATTGATACAATTGCTGCCAATGTACTTACCCCGGAGGGAGTGTCCACTGGCGTATTTTCGATCGGAGTCGGGAGTCGAGATGCAACAGTTTTTGTCGTGATTTTTATTCGAATCGGTCGATATAACCGACAGACGTACCAAACGAGGCGGGGAAGGATTTCGTTTTTTGAAAATCCTCATTTTTCTCTGAGGTGATTCGTTATCCATCTGAAAAATACACACGTTGACTCACCTTCTCTATTCTACGTCTATATCTAACTGCGTTATTTTTAAACACACACACAACCGGTAAACAAATCAAACACCACTCGTTATCTATTGGAAACTCCAAAGTTTCCGGTTTACGAAAAAAATATTTAAAAAAAATAATGTCGACCGTTCCAAAATTAAACAAATTTAACACCTTCCGGTGACAAATAAGGACCCTTTCTAGTCGAAAATAACAGAGAAATTAGCATTAAATAAGCCCCGCGAGTTACAGAATTCGATTATAATTGTAACTCACCCAAATATCTTAATCGCGAGGTTGTTGAACTGATAAAGGAAGGTGAGTTTCGTCACTATCATAACCTATGTTTACACCACACACACTACTCGTTACGTGCCAAGTGTAAAGGATGATACGCCCGACGAACAAAAATCTGACGTACTATTCGGGCTCAAAAATCCCCCCACGTGATAGGTGACGAGACACGCAAGCGCCGTGACTAACCGGTAACTCCACGTTCACACCCCAAACCTATCTGAACACGTCTCGTATCGAAATTTCTCTACTTAAATACGTGATTGGCAGATTACTCACGATTCGAAAAGCGTTAAGATTTTCGTTTAGGGGTGTGCAAGCTTACCTTTCATTCGAATACGGAATTGTATAGATAACGGCCTTTAACGTAGACGAGTCGACCCCCCAGGCAAATCAATGACTCGGGTATGTGAGGTATGTGGTAATACGGGAATGTCGTCTGTCTCGATTCATACACACAACTCATAATCGCACCATATTGCCTTGTCAAATTCGAAGCATTTTATTATAACCACACCGTGTCTGAGTATTACATAACACTCATTGTAGGGGCTTCTAACACAATCGTGCCTTTATAGTCCTCCTTTTTATGTGCTGCAGGGGACTCAGACACTCACCCAGTCGCCCCGATAATGACCCATTGCTGGCAATTGGACCAGTATGGAAACGTGTCTGCTTCACTTCAAATTTATTACGTCGTCGGGGCCCCTCCTTTAAACCAATTTTCCAGTGTTTTGGGACGTGATGCAACAGATTTTATTCGATATTTTTATTCTCGTACGCATAAATAACGTAACACACTGGTCTATATTCGCATTGTATATGCTATAAATCTTATATTCTTTTTGAATGATGCCTCAATTTTCGTCTTACTAATTCGTGCGTAAAGTTATCCTTATCCTGTATTCGAAACTCTAACCAATTACTCTTGTATTACGATTTCAGATGTCAAGTTTGAAGACAGAAGAAGCGCTTGAATTGATTCTTTGTCTAAAACAAGGCGAGTGGAACTTTCCAGTCACTGACTGCATCTTTTATAAAAGGTATTTCTGAATTTTTATTACAGTAATCTATAACACTATACCTGTTTGTCGGAACATTTTTTTTTTTCAATACAGAAAAAAAAATAATAATATAAAATTAGTCCGAAGAATTATTCAAAAAAATCGAAAGTAGGACACTAGCAAACTATTTTTATCAAAATTATTTCTGCGCGAAATCATCCCCTTTAGCACGATTTGACTCCAGAAAATAGGGTCGACAGTATCGAAAAGTAGAACGTGGGGAATTCGCCTTATAAACTATGCTCATTCCCAGCATTTAAAGACATAAAAATATAAAAATACACTTACAATCCATAACCCTTTCTTCCATCTTTAACACCAACATCAAAACTACACGATACCCTTCTACCTTTAACCACACACTTCCAACATAGAAACCAATCCCGACACTGGTTTCGTCACGTGACGCCTACCTGCGAACACACACACACACACACACACACCTGAAAAAAATAGAAATTCGAGACTCTAAAAAAAAAAAATGCCGTTTGATGTAGCCTGTGTTTGTTAAACTGATCGAACACGTGCACATCCCTACGATGAAAAATAAGGGAAATGCTCTTTTTTTTTTTTTTTAAATGAGAATATATATATATAAAAAAAAGGTAACCTGTTCGACTGATGAGAACTGGGGGGGATAATTTTTATTATTCGCAGTGTTAAATACCTTGGCCTACTATAGTATCCTGTTTTTAAAAGTTTTTTAAACAATGCTAAATTATTAGGATATGTATGACAGGAAGAATTCTAAGGAAAAAAAAAAAAAAAAGATGCCGTTCCTGTCATTAATATTAGATTTGTCACCTTTTCTTTTATATAATTCAAATAATTAATAAGGACTTTTTATATATGACTTTTATCAAATCTGTTTGAAATTAACTCGAATTTTTCCCCTATTCTATAGGAAAAAAGTATGTAACGAGATATAAACTATTTGGAGGATGTTCTATAACCGCGTGACCTTCACACAGGTATGTTCGGATGCCTGGAGGTGTTACAGTAAGTCTTTTTTTTATATATATACATATTCTAGTATATATATATATATATATATTCTTATGTCCGAATTTTTTTGCCCTTTTTTTTATCCTGCGTTAGCCCGAGGGTTGTTTCAGACAGGTGGGTACCTATACCCCACCTGTCTTTTGCACTTTAATATTGATCACCTGGACACTTCTCGTTTGGTAGACCATTAAAAAAAGAAATACTGGTAGTTATCGTCTTAGTTCAGATGTATGGTGGCGATAAACGTGACATGTAAATATATCATTAAATAGAAATACTACCAGGTATATAACTATGTCCTTAAACATGTTTGCCATAAAGGAATATATGCTCCGATACATACATATATATATATATGAAGGGTGGCCCGAAATTCAGTTAACTTAACCATTGTTGCACTTATTCGAATTATTTCTTACTTATAAACACAAATTACAATGCTTTGATGAATTCGGTTTACGATTCTCTTTCATAAATATACCTGGAACACTTAACTATACGCGGTTAACTGATTTTTGGTTACCCTGTTACGTGACAAAATTTTTTCAACTTACTTTTTCTCTTGGAAAAGGGCGTTTACACTCTACACGGTGGGTCGAATTTAATAATGCGAAAGGGCCCGGTTAACTGACTTTTCGGTCGCCCCGTATGACACAAAAAAGCCGAACGATCACGCTATACATACACACAGGACAGAATTTAATAATACGAAAGGAAAGCCGATATCATATATAAGGAAATTGAATTTAGAGCGTCATTTTTCCTTTAACCTGCACCCTAAATGAGTTTATATTAGATTTAGCACATTTTATTTTAAAAAAAATTTGCATAAAAATATGCTAGGAACATTAAAGAATATGTCCTTGACTGCGCGAATCATCAATAAAATGATCACATAATGCAAACTTTTCTTCATTAATGGTAATTAATTTATTACTGTACTGTAATTTACTGCATTATCTTTTTTTTTTTTTCTTCTTAATTTTATCGTTGCTCGTCCATCTCCCCTTATAAAGACTACATCTTAGAAAGAATGTAGTTCTTAGCGAGGTTTTTCTCTCATCCCTTTTTGACTTTTACTTTGTTATCTGCTTCACACAAATAGCTAATTAATTCTCGTCCCCAATTTATAAGGCTCTCAAGGACGAAGCTTAGATCCCTTCGGGCTGCAAAGGGTCATAGTACTTAAATCCACCAAAAAATTTTTTTCCTCCTCCTTCTTCTTCTTCTTCTTCTCGCAATCTTCGTACTTCTCTATTGAGGTAACACGGGGTTATGTAATTCCATCATTCGTAATTACGTCTTCCTGATATTTATATAGCAATTTCATTCCTATCTCTACCCCAGTTATAAAGTATTTTGAAGTTAAACTAGCTATTATATACCAAATTACAAAACTTTACAGTAGATAATAGGTAGGGGGAGATTAGCTTGAGATTTGTTCCATCTTTATTATCTCGACGAGCCATACTGGGGATTCTTAGATAAAGGTACCACTTCCGCGGTTAGACACGTAAATGGATAACTCCAATAACATAATAAATTCGACCGAAATAATAAGATTTTGTGTGTTACGATCGTACCTATAACACAGCGAAGTTCACGCAGGTTTCGACGGGATAGCGTGACTACAGTCCTAATCGCTCGTCACGTGATCGGAGTAACGTCGCACGAAATGGCCTAGCCGCAAGTTTTTTGGCCCCACTATATAAATATAAAAACCTATAGGGTATCTATTAAAATATAAAATTACACTATTAATTACACATTTTAATACAACCGAAAGTAGGTCGTAATAGAGTGCAACGTCTAACGTACAACAGGATGTATAAATTAAGCTTAACAAACACTCGCTAATTTAATATACTGTATAAGGCTAGAAACATCTAAAATGTGCTCATCTTAATTAAATTAACAGACGAAAATAACTAACGTCCGAATTGTGAAGGTGATAATAACACTGAAAGGAACGTGACGCGTAGTTTAACCTTTCGATCCGCATAAAATTATACGAATTAAGATAGGTGGAAAGGGACATTTAATTGACTGTATTGACTGTCCTGTTCGCTTCCAATTACACTGGTCAAAACAGCGTGACTGGACTCCACAGACTCGACATCACGCATCAGCTGTTGTCATCTCAGCTGCTACAGGAAGTTAACTTTATTTTTGATTGTTTGAACGGGATCTTAATTCATTGCTCACCGAACAAAAAAAACACCCAGTGTTATTAACCTTGAAGCTAATAGTCTAGTTATAAACATACAAGCGCTTCGTAGTTTACGTACACGCATTTTCTGAATTATAAATAACGTCTGACGCACGGGCATCCGCAGAGGGGGAGGCAAATCGAGTATAAAAATCTCCTTACTGTACTCTATACACGTAAAAAAATACCATTAAATAGATAAAAATTTATTGAGGTAATTATTTGTCTTCAAGCTTTGCACCCCCCCTGGAAAATTTTCTGCGGACATCCCCCCGGTATGACGTAATTTAATCGAACGTAATTTCGGAAAAATCCAACCTACATAGCCAAACCCATAAAGGAATTTTTGAGGAAAAGGGAGCGGTTACGAGGAAATGCTCTTTAACTGGAAAGAATAATTTTATAATAAATAAGAAATTTAATTTTTCGAAATCCGAAATGGTGGAAATTAAAACATAAAAATAATTACAAAAATACTACCGTGTTTGCGGAGGCATTGACAAGGACAAACAGTGGGAAGATATACCTTGCTGTATTTAGGACACACAGGATTTAGTTGACCTTGTCCGTTGTAGTTTGGCTACCTGTCTTCATAAAATCGGAATGTTGTTCACTATCGATATACCGCATTCCAGTTTGGGCACTTGACTCATCTATAACAGAATGCGAAAGGATGAGGAACGTGATTTAATGTGGCCATAAAAATTGAATTGCCTTTTTTTTTTAAAGGAAAAAAAAATATCACTCGTCTTTTAATATTAAACTGGCAAAAACCAATGAGCCTTAACTTTGTGAGGGAGTTTCGCAGGCTTCCGTCTGTTTTCGCGTAATTATCGACACTCGTTTTTACTAATATCACAACACAAGACACTCCTAGAACTTTGTCTATAGGTCAAGAGGATCTTTATATATAAATAATTTAGTCTTCTTTCTCTTTCTTCTGTTAAAGATGCCAATCACAGAGGCATTTGTCTTCGGGCGAGCATTTCTATTGGAGGATCTTATCTCTTTTTTTTTTAGTGTTATTACTATTCAACGTAACTACTGGCGCGTATATCACGCAAATTTGACATCTAATGTTATTATTTTCGTCGTTACACTAGGAGAAAACTTTCTACACGTAAATAAAAACTGTTAAGTAAGCTTTAAAAATTACAAAATCGAAAAAATTACATACCACAAAGGTTACAACGCCACTTCAGTTTTTAAAACGACTACGCACGCGGATGTGTCGTTAGATTTAACCGTAGGTCTTTACACCAACACAGCTGGGAGGTCATACGGTAGATCCCAATGTCGGGGCGTTAGTTTTCTTAAAATCCCACCTTATAACGTAGGTAGCGGTTAGTGTTTTCATTATTCCTCCAAAGGACGTAGATAATTCATGCATTTTTTTTATATAAAAATCCTCCCGTTACTCCCGTTTTTTTCGAAACTCTACTCTGATTGTAGGGTGGTATTTACTGTTTTATACTCGATGAGTTATTAAGTATTTAGGGCAAATAACGTTTGGGTAAAATGTTATAAAAAATAAATAAATAAATCACGAACTTTCATGGTTGATAGAGTTAGAAGTCAAACAAAAGAAAAACTTATTCTTGTACCACCCTGTTATCAAAAAAGAAAGTAGGTCTGACGAGTTCCGTATCGCTGCACAACAACACCGTTTGTTCCTAGCACATCTCTAGAGAATTTCTGTTAAGAATGCTTAAATTTAACACGTACTTTGTTAGCCTATTTATTAGCATTTCTACTAAACAAACTGTAAAATACACGCTCTATAAATTACCTGTTTTACTAAAACATAATATTTACAAAAAGAACGAGCCTCGTGCGCTCGTCCAACGAATCGAAGAGTTTCTAGCGTATAATTTCTTTGATATCAAGTTCATTTTTAAGATAATAGAAAAAAGCTGCGTTAATTTATTTTTTCTACACTCGACCCCCTTTTCTTTAAAGTTTAAAGCACTCAAAAAGGAAAAAAAAAAACAAGCGCTAATGGTGCGTGCGAACTGTATCGTTAGATTTAATGGTGAAGATTTATATATAATATAAGATATTCTAGAAAAACACGTTAAAAGTATGAGAAAATACCCACCACGCTAGTCTCGGTCGGTTGTTTTAATAGTGTAGTTTAGTCGCTTTTCAGACGTAACAGATGTTTAACAGTTGCGAGACACCAGGTGCTGTTTTGACATACCACCTACTAGCACTTGTCACAATAACTCCCACACTGTCAAGCACCGTTAATTTGACTCGAACCTTTAACACGCACGTATAAATACGTAATATTTAACTTTATACGCTAAAATATAACTCGAAGGTTTCCGCTTCTAACACAGAAGTTTCCAAATGATACATACACAAACTACACACGGTGGAGCGTAAGATGACCTGTGACACAGTTCCTCGAAGTACATCCTCGGGGAGGAATAATATCCCGGTACGAAAATCTGGTTTACTTGTAAATTTTCATTTTTTAAATTATAAAAGATAGCTTTTAATAAGAATAAAATATATTTTTATTTTGTAATAAATGAAAAATACAAAATGTTTCCATTGTAAAAACGTTTCTTTTTTTTAAAACTTGGTACACGTCATAACTGTATAAGAAATCGAATAAACTGTATATATAAACACAACTGCGGTTTAGGAATGTCGTAGCTTCAACGAATATATTTTCGTATATTGTCCGTATAATTGTTAAAAATATTGTTTTTTTCAACAGGTTTTATTCTGTTATAAGGCAAAGGTGAACGCTGTCTTAGTACGAACCTTGGAAAAAAACAAACAACAATGCTTCTGCAGTAACGGAGTCGACTAGATCAACAACACACGTAAGTGATGATATATGACGCAAGTTCCGTAGACAGTATTGTGCCGATTGTTTTTGTTTTTTAATACACGCTTATCAGAAATACTAAATATACATTTGAACATGTTTAAAAAAATAAATATACAATGTACGGTGCCCTCCCTTTAAGGCCGGAAAAGCACTTTTGAAACCAACGCTATCGATAGAATATTTTAAATTGCCAATCTGTGACGTCTTCTAATAAATTTTTGCAGGTTCCACTTCGTGTGACTGATAAGTTTCGGTCCATTGTGAATCAGAAGAACTGTCATGTTTTCTGAAAATTCCAAGTCTGGTAACAGCTGCAAAATGACAAAAAAAAAAAAAATACAGCAGGAAATCAATTGTTTTTAATTAATATTATTTTTTTTATTAATTACAATATATAAGAAATCGTTGAACCAATAACTCAAAGTTCTTTTGTTAATGTCTTTTAGAGCATATAATTAAAAGATAAATTTCAGACTAGTAAATAACAACAACATGCAACGGATACAGAAAGCAGACACACGGCCCAACTAAGCATATAAAACGGTTTTATCACATCAATAACTACAAAGTATACAAAAATAACCTTTCCTGTATGTGTATAACATGTGGCATTAATTTAATAATGAATTTGGTGACTAACAAACTTTTAAGATATATTCATTGACTTTAAAACACGGAAAATTAATTAGTGAATGCATAAGTAAATTTGACATAACATGATCTTACACAGAAGATATATTAGATAGAAAATAAATAACAAAAAGTATATTCTTAATATATGTAAAATATAAAAATTTTTATTTTGTAATGGTCATAAAAATCAAATAACAGCCAATATCTAAGTGTCCTTTGAACATTAAATAGATAAAATTTTATCTATTTAATTATGTTGTTATATTTTAGTTTCCTCCTCAAAATTCAGTTAGAATATGTTTTTAAACTGAACTCTTATTATATTGCTTATTTTTAATAAAGTTTGACAATATCAAGCATAGACAAAATTACATTACTATAAAATATGAAAATAACCAATAAATGCTAAATTTGACAACTCCTTACAAATACAAATGTTTGAGAATTTAATTTGCAGTATTCAAACTAATTCTATGTATAATTTGGCAACAGGCGGTTCCCCATTTCACCATTCCCGAAGGAAAAGGCATATAAACATATGTCCTGAGATGAGAAGTTTTCGAGAAGTTGAACCTCTTACGACAGCGTTAGGTGAGAGATGGGTTTTCTTGCATACTCACGTAAAAATACCCTCCGTGTTTGGAGATGTCACAGCACAACGCCCACACCCTTATCTTTTTTCTATTCCCAATGCATAATTGGGTTAAGTACAGAGATACATAACTACAGAAAGATAATGTACAAACATGGGCAGTTGTCCATCTTAATGAATGGCTAAGTGCATGTGATATTTATGAATCAACTTTTTGAACACTTTATAGGCATCATGATCCTTAAGAAAGACATGATCACATGGCCAATTAATACCCCTCTGGCTAAGAGTAAGGGCAAGCTCATGCCTAGTGACCTCAGTCGTTGGACAGATGTGTATGTAGTGCTTGACCCCATCACAGCAATTACAGATGGTACAGATGTCCATTGCTGATTTGCCAAACCTCTGCAGGTAGACCCTGAATCTCTCATGCCTAGTGAAGAATTGGATGGTTTCAAAGTCCAGATTCACCCAGTGGTGGATCACGAATAGAAGAAAAGAAGTTCCTGACAAGGCTATTGTAGTTATCCCATCTCTGGCAGCAGAAATCCATACTTGGAGCCTGAAAAGAGAGGCAGGGAGCACTGAATACTTGAAAGGGCTAGCTAGAGGTACCACTGTAGCAGCCTCCCTGGCAAGAAGATTACCAAGCTCATTACCAAGGACACTCTGATGACCCCTTCCCATTTGAGGGAATATGAATTTTGTGCACAGGGTATATGGTTTAGAATCTTTCTAGCCAGAGGGTGAAGGTTATTTGAATTCCTGAGTGCATTGATTACTGAAGCACTATCAGAACAGATGGTAACTCTGCTTCCAGTAAGATTGGCCTCACACCATTGTACAGCCATGTAAATGGCACAGAATTCTGCCTGGAATATAGAGCAGTCAGGATGAAGTTTCAGAGTTCTGATGAATGTCCTCCTCACTGGCAAAAATAACAAAGGCCAAGCCAGTGCCCTCCTCACTCTTTGAACCATCCATGAAGATTGTATAATCAGCATCATTTGTAAAAGATGAGTCAATCTGATGTCTCATTGCTGGATGAGGGAGGGTGGTAAACAGGACATCTGTCTCATAGGTGCCTTCAGCATAGGAAGTAGAGTTCATAATGATGTCGTGGCCTTTCAAATGAAGATCTACAGGTGGTTTCCTACCAATAATCCAAAGTGAATAATTCGTGGTGGACAATGCCCACATCATCAACAGGAGTGGCATATTCTAGTATCTTTGAATTTTTTTTTTCTGTGGAGACACCCAAAGGATTTAGATTGGGGGAGCAAGGAGGCCACACCGCCAAACAACTCTACCTATCCACATTATTGATTAAAGAGAGCTGAAGGAGCTCACTTTAGTCAACAGTTATGTAATAAAACATGTCTAGCAATTTCTGTAATACGAGGTTTGATTACTCAGACACACATTTATATGCCTTCTTCTTTATTTTCCATGAGGAATCATCCAACTATTTCAGAACTACCCTGTATTTATATTATTGTATGAGCTGATTTCTGTGAAAATAAATACTGCAAATTTTTTGAATAGATTCAAAGTTACATATTATTAATTAGTACTAGGCAATAATGTTTTTCCTTCATAAAAACTAAAATTCTATCTAATTCGAAATATGTAAAATGCACTGCAGTTTCTACTGCTTTAAAAGTACACACAATGGCTTTTAATAACTGCAGTGATCGAGCTGATATAATTTCGTACTTGCTAGATTTGAAATTATTGAATTTTGTTTGATCCATTTTAATTAAAAAATTATATTGTAGGAAGTAAGCATTAATAAAACTTGTTGATGATTTGTAGAAAGAAAAGGAAGCTTATATAAAAATATATAGGTACTGCACATATAAGTTGACAACAACCAAAACATTAAATATATTTTAGGAAAAAGTATTATATAAAATGTAGGTATGTAATACTAAAGGCAATGGTAATAGATAATCATAACACAATTTGACAAGCAGCAGGCCATTGTTTTGTACTTTTTGCATTTAGAAGGATTAAAAGAATAACGGAGACAATCGGCAGAGCAATCAAACAATGGGTGGTGATTACACCAGCAGTTTATCGTGTCTTTTATACAGGTTCTATTAATTTTTACCCTCGTTAAGTTAAAAAATGCTGTTCCTTTTGTTGAAATAACAAATAATAATTGGAACCATAAAAAATTGTTTTCCATTCAATACACAATATTAAAAACACTTAAATTCTAACCTTGCATGCAGTTAAAATTAATGGCACATTCTAACCGTATTGTATACTAACAAATAATTACCTTGGGTGTTAAAAGGAAATACTGAGAACTGTTTTCTTGGCAGGCAGTTTTTACCACGAGTTCAAAAACTTTCCTCTCATTGGTCGAATCCATACCCTGAATAAGCAGATGATTCTTTTTTAATTTTTGGCAAATTAATATGATTTCATCACAAAACCAAACTGTTCCCACCTGGTTGATTTCATCCACACACCTAAATGGCACCTTGGTCAGCTCCTGAAGGGATATCATGTACAGTACAGTGGCCACGCTGCGTTCGCCTCCACTCTGCTGATATGGTGTCAGTTCTTTTAACTGTTCGCTGTCTCGATATTTCACCTTGATGCATATCCCGTACTTTTCGAAATCATCCTTTAAAATTCATTTGCAATATAAATATTAATGAATAAATTAGAAAAAAGGAAAATGCCTTTAATTACAATACTGTATACCTTAAATGATTTTAGAACTTATGGATATATTAAGGTATATTAATGATAATTGAAATTTAAAATGTGAGTCATGTAAAACTTATTTGTTTATTTTTTACTTTTGTACATAAGTACAGTAATACCCCGAACTTACACGATAGGTGGGACTGAGCGATAACCATGTAAGTCGAATTTGTGTAAGTCGGGGTATAATTTCGCAATTTATGTAAAATCCAAGTAGGATGTACATAAGCTAATAAATGTTCTTGTTAATCTTATCTCGTCTTTTGATTCATTTATGGTTACAAGAAATCACCACATATATCTACGGAGACTCGAGAGACTCTAACAAACACAGAAATAAATAACACACAATAAATTGTAGCTATGTGTCGATTCCGCACGACACGTCCAAACATGTAAGCTGAACAATAATATGGGGGAGTGAGTAATCAAGAGTTGCATGGCGCTCAAACAAAAGATGAATCAACGAGATTTGAAAATCGCATAACTCCGGGTTCACTAAGTCAGGGTAGCATAAGTCAAGGTATTACTGTATTAAATCTCTATGGAAAAACTAGTTAATTTAAAACAATTAACTGAAATCTGATTATTAAAAAAAAACTACTTTTAAGCATATAAACTGCTCATTAAAACTGCAACATCAATAAGGGCAAAACAAGAAGAGCTATCAAAGCCATATGTATTTGTATATGTATCAAAGCCATTATGTATACAGATAACTTACAGACAAGGGTAAAACAATTACAATTTTGGTTTGGTTCAAGCCGCGGAACGTACAGAAATTGGTATCTCATGTGACCATCGTGAGTGGTAATAACTGCCACCACATGGCTCTGCACAGAGAGGAATAGATGTCAGATGTTTGCTTGGGGTGTTATCAGAGTTAGTCTGCTGTCGATGTTGTGATATTGTGGATGCAAGGGTTTGTGATGTGATTGTACAATCTGCAATAGCCAAGTAGATAAGAGTCCTCTTGTTCAGAGGTGTAGTATATCCATTTGGATCCTTCAAATCGGTTTATTTGTTCCTCCTCAACCCACTGATTCCATATTCACATCACCTTGGCAGCATTCCTTCTAACGGGAGCACCAATTTTATGGAAAGATAATCTGCAGTTCCAATATGCCACAATTCTCCCAGTATCAAAATCTGATGCCTGTTGGTATGGTTGCTGTATTCTTCAACAAGGCACACTAAGTGTCTATGCACAAGAACAGTGAAAAAACAGAATTCCAATAACTTTAAGAGGTGAGAAAAAAACATTTTTACTATTTCCAAGAAGCATTACAGGTGGACGTGATTTGCATTTGTACTTCATCATTAACCATTCACACATCCTGTAGATTTCAAAACAATCGGATTGTTTTTGGTGTTGCAATTTTAATGGCCAGCAGCGTAGAGTTTCTTATTTTAGTCTCACAAAAGTGTGGTTCATGCTGCATCAGTCAGTAATTCCCATTTCCCTATCACAAAACATTTGAAACAACGAGCCCAAGGAGAGAACGATAGATACATTTCAAAATGCAGATTGTTTTCAGCCAATTACATCTCCCATAGTGCTATAATCGATGCGACTGGACAGTCATCAGTCCACCCTGCCAAAAACCAACAGAGGCTATTTATTGCAAAAAACCATATTATACTCTTTTTATATAACATCTAACCACACACTTAATGATGCCACACTTGAACATTTAACACCAAGAAATACTTATCCATCCTGGCTATAGTCCTTATTTAAGACCATTGGGCTTCCAAATCCCTCTTATCGCTCAGAAATATATATTTTCCTCATCATTAATAATTGTTAATTTGAACTGCCAAGCTTTTGGAAAATGATCTACAAAATGAAGTTTGTAAAATCACTATTCATTTGCATCATTGATAGTTTCTAGTGTTACATTTTGGCTAATAAACCTTTGTAAAAATCTAGAAACGATTCATTAAGAAAGAAAAATAATATGGCATCTACAATTACTTGCACGAAAGAAATTATAGACAAACAAAACAAGCTATTGTCTTTTCAAAATACAACACAGTGAATACATATCTTTACATTTTAAAATAACAACTTGCCCAACCATTAAAATAATTGAGTAATTAAATAATTACTTATTTGTCAAGCGTAAAATTATGTAATCGCTTCCATAGTCGCTTAAAGATTTAAGTTTCTATTTCTTCTAAACATTATTCAAAGACTTATTGCAAACCTTCACAAAGATTTGCATAGTTTTTAGAGATGTGGAAGAATCCATCCATGTCTCTATTATATTCCTTATAACTTAGTAGTTAAGCTATAACGAGAATTTTTGAAATTAAGCTAGAAATCTAGCAGATCATATGCTATACATAATTTTTAGATTTCCAAATATATTGTGAAGAAATAAACTCAAACTTCCCAACAAAGACTTTGCCAATTGATCATTCCTATTTCAAAGTTTGCACAAGAAAATATTAACTCTGAATTTTGAAAATGAGTTATAGATTTTCAACTGAATTCCATTAACTAAACATTAATAATGTAAAAGACAATAGTCAGTGGACACATACAAATTATCGACCTAAAACCTCTACAGATTGAGTCCAAAGACAATGGGAAATCGTAGCAATGGAGTTTGTAGAATTCCACAATTCCATCAGTTGCCAAATTAAAGATTTCAGTATGTTTGACACGAGCGTTCTCTGTGCTGTCTTATTACTCTTCTTTATAATGATCTTTACCATGTGACATTCTTTTATCATATGTATATGATAGTATCAACTAAATTGCAGTTTAATCAGTTTAAAAAGAGAAGTGATACTTCCCTCTTTCCAATTTGAAAAACAATTACAAAAAAATTGAATCACATTCAATTTTGTGGAGTAATCCATCCTTCCCTGTCACATCAGACACAGACTGGATTTTGATTGTAAATTTTAATTGTATACACAATCTAAAGAGATTTAGTGGTTCAAATGTGACTGAATCTGCTTCGGTGATATTTTGGGATGTGCAGAAGAACAAAAAACTGAACCCCTTTGGACCTGCAAGCAACAAACATATTTGTACAAGACTTGCATTTTATGGAGTCCTGGACGACATGGAGTTTCTGCTCATTGCAATCCCCATTCCCAAAAGTAAAATCCAAAGGTGGAAAATGACAGGTTTGACAATCGACTTCAATTGATGCTTTGTAATGCTTCTCGAGCGTGATGCATTATCGTCTTTTGAGGTTACTGAATTTGCAATGCATCCCAGATAAACCACATGTCCCCACAGAGGAAACTGCCAAAAGTGCCATGGTGAATGCTTCGATACTAATTTTTTTTTACAGAAATGTCTTTTGTGCATCCCAAATTGTCACCATTCCAAATTCATTTGCATTCAAGTCATTAAATATATCTCTAGATGATGTTGAATAGGAGTACTTTAATTATGACTGCCAGAGAAACCACATTCCAAGTCCCTCAATTGGAGAATATTTCCACAACAAATCGAACATAGATCTTGCATCATGTTAAAGTCCAGACTTAATGCGGGATGGTTTGCTTTGGGATGTTGAAAATAAACTTTCTTGACTTTGCTTTATAACGACCCAAAAAATCTAAAACAACTTTCAAGCATGCTTCGACGACCCTTAACTGTCGACATGGACACAGTCTGGAACACGAGGAAAAATTAAAATACGTGCAGAGAATGGAGGAAACATATAGATAACTTTAATTAGCGTGCATAGGGAATTTATATTCAGCATACAAAAGTTAGAGGGTGATATCAACTTTTGGTCATCCTGTATTATCAAAAGAATCTCAAGGATTATATATATTAGAACAGTAATGCAAAAAATACAATCCTCCTAAAATCATTAAAAAAACATCAATTTAGAATAGTTTTACATAATTGAGCTTCTGTTAGAAAATAATTGCAAATTTTTTTGTTTTTCTTAATGACAGAACTTCTTATGAACAAAAAATTTCAAATTAATTGAGTTTGATTGCCTTTTTCTACTTTATGAGATAATAGATTACACTTTTTTGTCGCTGCCCTACTTTCCTGTGACTTTTGGATGTTGAGTTACAAAGGATAAAACATCTGCTTTTATTATGGATTTAATTACTTTGTAGAGAACCTTGCAGCTTCTTTCCGAATTTGCATTTTCCATCGAAAAAATCATAACACGTTTGGCATTCTGATGATTGGCGTAAGTGTCTTGCAATCGTTTAATATTGGATGTGTCATTCCTTGGGGGTTCTTTTCCCCAGAGACAGCCTTTATCAGCATGCATCAGGAGCCTGGACGCTCTGTTACAATATGCTGCTGGACCAACATGTCTCGATACATTCCGATTGAAGATCATCTCGAAATATCGAGGATTGAAATCTAGATTCCCAGAGTCCTCTTAACACTTTGGCCATTTGATCTTGATTATCCATTTTAAACAAATAGTTCCAAAAAGTGCCACATTTCTCCATCAAAGAACAGGACGTTTTAGGGTCTTCCTGACAGAAAATACAAAATTTTATTATTTTCCATAATGGATGATGGGAGCATATTGAAACAAAGTTCAACTTCAACACCAGATCAGATTAACGTAATGTGTAAATTATAGGATTATACTGATTAGTTTTTTCCTATCATCTTTCTTACAAATGGCAATGCATAATTTTGTTTTTTGCTAAATAACTAATGGCTAGAACAATTATCTAGACTTACACAATAATGCTTTCTAGCACAATTATTACAGAAAGAATGCAGAAAAAATTTGACGTTAACAAATCGTGTCGGATAAACAAAAACGATTGCATTTAAAAATAATTTTATTTGCAATCAAATATAAAATAAAAACTGTAAATAATTAACATTTTGAACACCATTCACTCGATACCATTCAACAGAACAATAATTAATGAATGATTTTTTTTAATATTAAAAACTTG